TGTTCCCTAATCTATCTATTCAGCCTTCTACACAAGATGTTAATTCCTAACCTAGTTTGAAGGCTTTCTTAAAGGAGGTACTTAAATTTCTGTTTGTATCCCACCATAACAGTATCTTTAAAAAAATCTTGTAAAGTATTATAATACTTTCATCTGAATTAATTTTTTAAATGCCTTAGATAATTAGTTCTCTTCAACAGTATTAATAGATATCAATTTGATAACACCTAGTTTACAGTATATTTAATAAGCCCTGACTAAAACTTCTTACTCATTCAGATGGGTCCGGGAGGGAGCCCAGTAAGGTACAAGACTAATTCCGCCTTTGCATTTTTGATGTTTTAAAGACATATTTTGATGTTTTAATGAAATTCAGTTTTTTTTATGACATATGTCAATTCAATTCAATTCAAGTAATATTTATTTCACTTTTCCATATGTAATATTTTATTGTTGATATCTACATAAATCCTTATACTGTAAGTATGAGAACACATACTTATTTGACCCCCTTCACTGGGGTGTTGAATAGTAATAAACAAAACAAAAAAAGTCTGTTAAACATGACCCACTTAAAGACTTCTTGGCAACTTAATGGAGAACATGTACCGTACTCTATACAATAAAACTAGTGTTTTCAAAGAAATATTTTTATGGTTTTACTCTCTACAAGAAAAAAATTTAAAATGACTATGTATACGCCTATTGTCCATTGATTTTCACTTTAGACAAAAATACAACATATAGGCTTTATCATTTTGCAGTGAGCTCACTTCAAAATCAAATATGCGTTCAGTTAAGATTCAAAATCTATTTTATATCTCAGAAACTTATTGCAGACACAGTGGCTCAAATCAAAACCTACATTTGTAAAAAACAATATAAAATCAATATGCATACTAACAATTGAAAATGATAAAACATGGGGAAAATAATTCTAATGTGATATTTATCCTATCAATGAACACATTTTAAAATGTAGAAAAAAGCATTCAGAGTTTTTCTTTTTCAAATCCTATTTATTTATTCAAACTTTTAGAATGTAGAATTTAGAAACTTGGCTTATCTAAACATTATATTGAACAACTAGAACCAGAAAAATTGTCTTTACCAAATTATTATTGCATAGATAATACCATTCTTACATTTTCTAGCCCTAACTTGCTGGTAATCAATTTAAGAAAAAGTAAGTGTTTTTATCTGATTATTTTTAAGGGTTTTTTTTTAGATTTTACCAGACACTTTTAATGATTACTCCATAAAGCCCCCTCAGAGGATTTCATTTTGCCTTGAATCACTTAAAACACTTCCCCCAATGGGAATCCACCTAACCAGTATCCTGATGTGTGATAGACAGACAGGATACCCTCTGACACTGACCTGTTTTCACTATCTTGTCCTCATCTTAAAATGCTCTCGTCAATTCCCAACTCGAACATTAAATGCAAAATTTGACCATGCACTGGTTATCATGACTTATTTATAAGCTTTTCACAATGGATGATTGAACTGAGTTTTACCTTGTCATATCTTTAACCTCAATTATTGTATGAACCCTGTCCAGAAGGTTTGGCGCAGAGGTTTATTAACCTTGTGGTCGCGAGCTTGAACCAGACGCTGACCATTCTCCGTCAGCCGTGCTTGACGGGCTGTGAAAATGGCTCTTGCTACGTTTCAACCGTGTGAGGTGCAAGGATATATCATGGTGCAAAACAAGATGCTGTAAACTACTGATTGGCTCATGGGGATATGTAGTTCTCTGGTGCCTGTAATGTAATGTAGATTTATATAGCGCTTCATACCAAAGTCTCAAAGTGCATGAGGTGTAGACTAGCTCTCCCCTAAGGGCAGGGGTGGCACCAGCGGGGGGGCCGGGGGGAGAGCTGGCACAATTCGTATTTTCTACATATTAGTAGAGTCTAAAATCGATTAAATAAGCCTTTGAAACACCTAAATTGTCTAAATTTTCTGGGGCTTCACCCCTGGACCACTTTCGAAGCCTTTTAATCGAAGCTTGACCACGCCCACTTAGCTTTCGTCGGGGAAATTTTTTTCGATTGAATAGTTCATGTGATGTTTATCTTGGTTTTTATTGGAGTTATATCATAAGTAGATCTTCAACCTTCTATTTTCTAGCTTTACATATCCCATATCTATTAAAAGGTTGTCATTTTTTTTTTTTTTTTTTTTATATCATAAGTAGATCTTCAACCTTCTATTTTCTAGCTTTACATATCCCATATCTATTAAAAGGTTGTCATTTTTTTTTTTTTTTTAATGGAATATATGGTTTTGAAGTCTCTAAAAATGGCTGATAATTCACCCTTACGTCTTTCTTACATTTTTTTCGAAATCTCAACTGAACATTGATGTCATGATGATGTCGCATAAAAGCAGCTGATGATTTACTTTGACATAGAAACAGTAAACTGGATTGTCATTGAACATTCTGTGATGATACGTGAGGTATCTCATGTAATTATAGTGCAGCTGTAACTTGTTGATTGATGCTTGCCTTCCCATCATCCCAGGGTTCTGGATTCAAATCATGTGACAACAGAATTTTTTTTTCATGACCATAAGGGGTCGTTCACAATTATCAACATTTTCACAAGTGTACAAACAGGACTCTTTTTCGGTACCCACCCCCTCCCTAAAAATATGTAATTCCCCTCCCCTCTAGTGTACTGTTTGTACACTCCTTAATAATGTTGAACGACCCCTAAGAAAACTCAATGATAGGGAATAAAGATCATTGAAAATAGATGATGGTTTTTTTAAACTTGCTAAATTGCAACAAAAAATCTTTTTCAACTGATTTTGGTGCTATTGGATGTACTGATATTGGTAACCAAAAAAATATATTACAAATCCATCCACCAGAAAGTGTTTTATTTGCCAAGATGGCAGCCAAAATTGCGCCCATATGATAAAACAGCTATAAATTGCCCATGAGTGGTAGTTTTTGTGTCTCATCCATGGTTTGTATGGGTCATTAAATCAATTGAGTTAATGTAGAATATTATGATCTAATCAATTATGAAAAAATTGCATATGGCTTCTAAGAAGGCACCTAAGATATCTTTGAATAGGCATGTCAGACTACTTACTCTAAAGTAGTAAATGTGAATTATTATAATAGGTTCAATCTTGTTTTTTTGTGTTTGGTTTAGTTGCATGAATCAGCACAAGTAAGCCTGTCTGGCTATAGGCAAAATAGTTTTACAACAATATGGGAGCCAATCACAAGTGTGAGAGCTCAGCATATTTTCATTTTCAACATATGTAAGAGGATTAATGCAAGAATCATCAAATTGGTATCATAAATGTGTTGCATGCCACTATAAGCTATTTGAATATTTCTGCCCAGCTAGGTTACAACATGAGAGCCAATCACAGATTGAAAAGCTCAGCATGTTTTCATTTTCAACATATGTAGGAGGATTAATGCAGGATTCATAAAATTGGTATCACCATGTCACTACAATTTATCTGAATATTTCTGCCCAGCTAAGATGTAGGTTACAACATGAGAGCCAATCACAGATTGAAGAACATAGGATTAATGTAGGAATCCCCAAATTGATCATAAATGCATCGTATGCCATTACAAATTATCTGAATATTTCAAGAAAGGAGCATGTCAGTGGGTTGGAACATCAGCATTTTTATAGCATGTTACCATTAGTCTCTGGTAGCTTGAATTAGGTCCTTCCGGTTATAGTGTAGGGCTTGATGTTTTGGCCTCGTAAACAATTTAATTAAGTTATGTATGATAGAATATACCTGCAGAGGAATATCCTCATGGAATTATGATGCAGCTGCTAACATATTCAGCATAATTGACTTCAATTTGGATGAGGCTTTTATAAATTGAGATATACTCTAAACCTATTGTGAATTATTATAAATCTCCACAAGATACAAGTTAACTTCATCTTCAACAAATGCTATTTTGTATCTTTTTTATCAGGTCAACAAAAATAATTATGTTTCCCAACCCCAAATCTTGAAGTAGACCAAAATACTTGTATAGTTTTTACTTCAGACCTACCAAGTCTCAAGCATTTGGTGTGAGACTTGCGCATTCAAGGTCTGTCTCACAGTCTCGCGCTTAAGGAACAAAATCTCACGCATTGTATGTATTGCCTATATTAAAAAATATATGTGTACTAATTGTGACATTTGTAGCTCTATATTAAACATTCTTCATATACAGCACTTAAAGTTGGATTGGTTTTGTGAATATTAGTCACTTTGGACCAAAATAAAAACTCAGCACAACCCAACTCGGCTCAAAGTCGACCCAACTAACAACTCGTACCAAATCAACTCCAACCAAACTTCAACGTGACCCATTTCATTTTTATATGGTTTTCCATGTAATATCATATGGTATCTTGTGTATATAAATTTTTATGAGCATCGGTGAACAAAACAAAAAATGTATTTCCGAAAGTCTGACGCCTGCAAGTTTGTTTAATTTAGAATCTCTGGTACTTTTCATGCTCTGATAATTACTGAGGTCTTAAAGTGAATGGTTATGGCACTCCTAGATAGCCAAAAATGGCACTAGTCTGAGATTAGTCTAAGATTAAAAATAATTTTTTTTTTTTTTTCAAAATTTATTTTTCAAAATTTTAAGCAGAAGGGCGTTTTGTTGAATTTGCCTGTGAGTTTATTAGATTTATTTGTCAGTAATGTATACCTTTAAGACAGTGAAAAGTTTTGCTGTTTTTTAAGCCATTGGTGTTGGTCTCAAGTTGACAGTGAGGCAGCCATGTTGCGGGGATCGAAGCTGTTTTCTGTGATAAACAGAAGGAGGAGGTTTATTATTGTGTGTGTGGGAAGGTTGATTTAAACTATAATTGTCATGTTTTAAATCATAACATTCTGTTTAATGTGTTTCTTATTTTCATTATTAATGTACGTCTTCTCATCTGCGGTTTACTTATTACATGTTTACTACCATTTTTTTTTTTCTTATCCGTTCATTATAGGAATGTCACAGAATGATTGGCATATGTCATAATGTGATTAGGATCTTGTCTGGAGTTGTGATGTCTTCTGGGAGATGAAGTGTTGTCCCTCTATCGGCAACCAGCTGATGCCTATTACCGCTGCCTACAGGCTTACACTGTTTTGTTACAACTCCCTACCAAGCACAGCATATAGCAGAAAGAACACATCATGTGTACTACAGATGGTAAAGAAAATTTTGCACCAAATGTATTATCTCTCTTCAGCATATAGAGTTTAAAACAGAGCATAATAATAATAATTATATGAGTAAGATGGTGATGACAAGACCAGTGGCGGTGACAAACTCATAGCAGAGGGGATTGGTGAAAGGCAATAACTTTGAGCTCTAAGCAACATTAGTTTATACTCAATTATTTTAATAATCAAGTTAATTATAGTTGGGATAATAAGTATGAAAATCCTATATAATTGCAAATAATTTAATATAGAATATAACGCATGCATTTTAAAATTCATTTATTAAATTTGTTGCAATTTTTTTTTTATGTTTCCACAGGAAGGTGGTTTCACACATTTTATATCTAATCTGTAAAAACAATAATGACATTCCTTTACATAGAATAAGTAAAATTTATTTCAATTTAAAAAGTTAATTATTATGCTTTTTTTCACTTTGTTGTTATGAATAATTAATATTAATACTAATGCTAATAATACTAATATATTTTATGAAAGAGTATAGAATTGCAAGATGTCCGACTACCCTCATTTTTTATTCACATAATAAAAAACGTTTAAAAAAGCTACTACAGTACCACAAGATAGGTGGCATGCTATTAGAATTCAAATAGAGTTCGCTCGAAACTCGACCATAGTTGAAAGACACGCCTCTTCGTGGTATTACTTTTTGAAATACTTCCAACAAAAATATAAGAGTTAGACCTCGTGCACTTCTACACGCTTTGATTTTATTAATAATAATTAACCCAGTTTGAGATGTAATATTACTAATGGTACTGTATGTTTATCCTTCTTTGTTAATGTTTACTTGTAATAGGTTATTTTTTAATAAGAACAATATAGATGTATTTAATTTTTATATTTATAAAATATTATGTTGTAAATAATATGGTATTTGAGTAAACTAATTATACAGAAGAAAAATAAGACTCAAATGAATTAGTAAATCAGGATTTCTATGAGGTAAAAAATAAAATCAATATTGGAATTACTTAATTATTAAAGGATGTTATTAAATTTCTATTGGAAATTACAAAAAATTAACAGATATTTTAGTAATTCAGGTCTCCCTCTGATTAAAGAAATTTAAGACCACTTTTCTGTTCTGAAATGGTCTCAAACTTTTCTGGTCTCAAATTAACAAATGTCTTTATAATATCTTTATTATTTTAATTAAAGACCAAAGCTGCTGAAGACCATGGAAACCTCGGTCCCAAAAGTGGTCTTTAAATGGAGGGAGACCTGTATCATTTTTGTTTTCTTTGGCTGAAGTCCTTCCATTCGTAGGGTCGTGGGTTCAATTCTTGTGATAGCACAGGATTTAACTACTAAAACACGTCTCCACTTCTTAAGCCATGTAATGAGACAAAGTTTTATAAGCAGTCATCACACTGCTTATATGTATACAG